TTAACCTGTTTGGAGCCTCTGGGCAGGTGAATTTGCAACATTATCTCTAGAACACTGATCCGTAAGATAGTGAGCTGGAGGTGGAACATGTCCAGGGAGAAAATTTAAATGCACCCCTCAGGGATATTTCCTATAAAGCTTTCACATCACAGAGGTGGTTCTTCTAGGTTCACACTAAGATCCCTTCCATCTCTAAGTTTGTACATAGATCATTATTTTCTATCCACAACAAAAATTAAAGAGTTGGAAAATCAATATCTAAGACTCAGCTGCTAAGTCTCTGACGATTGAAGATGATACTTCACAATTCTGTGTTCTGACCCTCGCCACGTTGTCATTATTACCTATGGGTGGGAAACACCTTGTCTTCTTAATCTCTGAGATTGCCCGTGTTCATAAGAGTCACTGGATCATAATACGTAGTTAACGCGAGTCAGCTGACATTGAAAGAGTGAACTAGGATCTAATATGAGCTATTTGGCTTTATTTCTTCGTAGCCATAAGTGGAATCCAAATTTTTATTTAAAATAAATGGAGGAGAACGCCTGGGGGGCTCAGTGGTTGAGCGTCCGCCTTCAGCCCAGGACGTGACCCCGGGGTCCTGGGATCGAGTCCCGCGTGGGGCTCCCTGCATGGAGCCTGCTTCTCCCTCTGCCTGTGTCTCTGCCTCTCTCTCTTTCTCTCTCTCTCATGGATAAATAAATAAAATATTAAAAAAAATAAAATAAGAGGAGAGTCTAAGTTATACTGGCTGCCGAAACAAATGTAAATATCCAAACTTCAGTGTTTTAGTGCAGCGGCAGTTTATGACAGACCCTCGTGGTGGGCAGGTTTCTGCCATGGCCCCAGGCCCGCTGCCCCAGGTCGCGCACATTCTGCGGAGTCCTGAGACGTACCCCTGGGACTGGGTTACATGGCACAGTCGCCTCAGAAAGAGGGGTTATCTGGGGAGAGTCTGTCCTAATGAGGTAACCCTCAGTGTCAGGTACTGTTCCAAGTGCTGGAGAGATGTGCTGCAACGACATATGAGGTCTACCATTAACTGTACGCTAAAGATAACTAACATAAAGACGAAAGGCAACTGGCATAGAGAAGCTAAATAATTCTTCCCTGCGACCTAGGGCAGAGCTGGGATGCCGCGGGGGGCTCTGAGAGTGTCACTCCTCTACCCAAGGGTCTTACCTGACTTCCTGTTGCCTATGCATTGCCTAAGGCTCCAGTTCTGTAACATGACGGACAGCAAATGGCCGCAAACTCTCTTCCCAACGTATTTAACTCTTTCCATTCCCCTGATGACCCTCATGTTATGGTATAAATACTCTTTTCCAAACACAAATAGCCTTTAACAACCTCATGGCACGTGCCTTTTATGCAACACCCTGTTTGCTTTGTCATGATCTCCCTTGCCTAAAACTCCTACTCATCCTTCAATACCCAGACTATTTCTTTGTGAAGTCTCTGCTGACATTCGCAGTCTGAGTTAGTTACTCCTTACTCTGAATGCCCGTAGAAAAGTGCTCACATTTCCATAAAGCCTGTGTTAAATCGTACTGAGTTTATTCATATATTTGTCCCACCCACTAGACTCTGAAGTCTCAAAGAGAAGGAATGGGACCTTATTTTCTGGTATATCCAGTACTCGCCACCTACTGTGTGTTCACTGTAAGGAGGGACATATATTATGCAAGAGAAAGCATCATCAGTGTATAGCCGATACACCGTAACATTTGTACCATTGACCTTAAATATAAAAGTCTCAGGCCTATGTATAAAACTCTTTTAAACAAATGTTTCATATGGAAATCTGACTTCATAAAATTCAAAACTGGTTTACAGTTTTGTTTTTCAATTCCTCTAATTCAGGAACTCTGCTAGTGTCTTTTTTTTTTTTAGGATTTTATTTATTTATTCATGAGACAGAGAAAGGCAGAGACACAGGCAGAGGGAGAAGCAGGCTCCCTGCAGGGATCCCTATGCAGGACTTGATCCCAGGACCCCAGGGTCACACCCCAGGCCGAATGCAGATGCTCAACCACTGAGCCCCCCAGGCGTCCCTCTGCTAGTGTTTTAAACATGCCCTGATTTGGGAAAATGTGACATACATTTTTAAAAATACTTCTGCTATGTAAAGGGAAGTTCATTCTTTTTCCTCTCTCTCTCTCTCTCTCTCTCTCTCTCTCTCTCTCTCTCCTTCACACATGTACACACATTGGAAATGGTAAACTAGTCCATGGATGTATTTAGATTTTTTCACAGTGCAGAACTTTAGATAAGAATATTTTTTTGGGCAGCCCGGGTGGCTCAGCGGTTTAGGGCTGCCTTCAGCCCAGGGCCTGGTCCTGGAGACCGGGATCGAGTCCCAAGTCATGCTCCCTGCATGGAGCCTGCTTCTCCCTCTGCCCATGTCTCTGTCTCTGTGTCTGTCTCTCTCTCCCTCTCTCTGTGTCTCTCATGAATAAATAAATAAAATCTTAAAAGATTAAAAAAAAGGAATATTTTTTTTCTGTAACAATTTATTTATATTTCTAAGGAATATATGTTCTGCTAAGACCAATATCAATTTAACCACCACATTGCAGTAATTGTGAATATTGTACTACCTTATTCAATATTATATCCAACATTGGATCAACACAACATCATATCATTACATTATTTTAATATGTGTGTATATAAAGTATATGTATGTCTCCAAACGCCTCATGCAGTCCTGTATATGTTGACCTCCACCAGGGTCTGACTTCTTTCTCTGTATTTCTAAATCCAAGCGTTTCCCTTTGGCTGTGTTATTTGGATGTCAGATATTTTCTTAAAAGGATGCATAAGCATATATATATATACGTGTGTGAATATATTCACTGTATATATATGTATATTAGGCATTTATATATGTGTACTATATACGTACAGTGTACACCATATATATATATATACACTTTATATATGTCCCCTATATGTATAGTGTGTGAATGTGCATACAGTAGTCCCCCCCAATTCATGAGGATACTCCCAAGACCCCCAGGAGATGCCTGAAACCACAGATAATTCCAAATCCTACATATATCGCGTTTTTTCCTATACAAACATGCCTATCATGGAGTTTAATTGATAAATTAAGAGTTTAACAATAACTAATAATAAGATAGAACAATTATAACAATGCACTGCAGTGAAAGTGATGGGCATGTGGTCTCTCTCTCTATCTATAAATATCTTATTGTATTACGCTCACCCTTCTCATGATGATGTGAGATGATAAGATGTCTGTGTGCTGAGATACAGTGAGGGGCATGACGTCACGTCACACCGGCATTGACCTTCTTTCTGACCTTAAGGTGCATCATGAGGATGATCCTAAAAGGCTTCCTAAAAGGGCGGTTGCCTGTGGGTAATAATGAGCCCATGGAAAGTGCAGCTGTGGATAAGGGGGTGGACTGTCTGCGTGTGTGTATGTAGAGAGACGCAGAGACGGAGAGTTTACGGTCTCTGTGTGTGCCGTGGTGGGTGCGTGTGTGAGGGAAAGAGGGCGAGACCCTATACATGCACACGCTGTACGGCCCGCTGGTCTCCTGTTAATACGGAGGCTCCTCATCCTCCGAGGGCAGCTGATGCTTTCCAGCTCGTGAGTCGGAGCGGGACGCCCGAACGTCCCGGACCGAGGCCGTTCACGCAGCCGCCACGCGCCGGGGCCCTGAGCCGCTGGGCGCGCTGTCGTGAATCCTGAGCTGAGCGCCTTCTGCATGCAAGTGCTGGTGCTCACTCTGTCGGGGTCTGCCCCGTCATTCACGTTGTGCTCTGGTGAACAGTTCTGAGCGTCAGGACCGACAGATTGTGCCAGCGGTGGTGTTGGGTCTGCCCCGCCGACACGAGGGGAGAGCATCATGCAGTTCCCCCCGCCCAAGCGCTCTCCACAGAGGCGGACACCGTGTGGAAGGGTAGTCGGCCCGTAGGAACTGGTTCAACCTTTGTGGCACCCCGAGCAGTGTTCCAGGTGTCCCCCCACCTGGGGGACTGGACCAGGTAGGGTCGGGCATGTGGGGACTGAAAGCACCCGAAGAGAGTGCCAGTCATAAGGGCTGTGTTGCTCCTCGTCGGGACCGGGGCCGAATGACCCCGAGGACGCTGATCCGTCGTGGCCGGGGCTCGTCTCCCCTTCCGTTCTGCTTTCCCTTGCTCTCCAGGTAAGCACAGCTCGCCTGTCCGCTGCTCCGCGTTCCTAATCCTGACTGCAAATTAGGATCCACTGGATTCAGGCTTCACGTGTTTCTTGCTCCTACTGGCTCTTTCCTAAGTGAGAAAGATCGTTGTGATTTCTTTTCATTTGAAACATTTTTTTCCTTAAACGGAGGCTCATCGACTGGGCTGCACGTTAGACCCGATGCCCGGGGCCTGGCGGGCAGGAGCAGCCGGGCCCGCGAGGTCCCCGGGAGCGCCCGGCGGAGATGTGCATCCGCTGCTCATCTCAGGGGCTGAGGCTTCCGGGAGCACCTGCAAACCTAGGAAGAGCTTCCCTGGACGGCTATTTCCCTCTCCCCCCACTTGAGAATTAGTTTCCCAATGAATTTCGGTCACAGTATCTGACAGTTTGGCCCAGACCCCTCAAGCGGGAGGGGTGGCCTGTAAAGACCGCGGGTTCGCTGCCCGTTTGGAGGGAGGCTCTTCGTGGGGAGGGCATGGAAGGGCCCTCCCCGAAGCAGCTCCTCCCTGGACTGTCGAAGGGCGAGGGTCGAAGGGCGAGATTCCCTACGGCGCGGCTGTGTCTGTGTTAGACGTGGGGTGGGGGAGGCTGCGGAGTCGTGTCTACGCGGGCAAATCGGGGCGCTGAGCAAGTGTAACCGGCGGCCCGAGGCGCTGCGGCGGGTGCTCCAAGGTACCGCAGTCGTGGTGACCCCGGGCTCTGGCCATGCCCACGGCGGACCGTGGCACCCAGCACTGGGAGGGGCTGCTGCCCTGCGTCCTGTTTCGAAATCACACAGAAAATGTTTGGTTTTTCTCTGTAGGTTCGAACCAGTGTCCTGCCTGAACGCCAGGATCCCCCGCCGGAGGCCGGGGTAAGTGTTTCCCATGTTCAGAGGGGCACACGCGTCACTCCCAAGGTCATCGGGTGGGTGTCCGCCCCTGTGCTGTGTGGCAGCTAATGACACGGGGCTGCGGGGGGCACTTCTCGGGGTGCCGGCCGCCTTGGGCCCCTCGGGGAGCCCCGGCCCGGCCTCCGGCAGCGCCCTCAAGGGAACCCGCATTCACCTTCGCGGCTGACAGGCGAGTCTGCAGTGGCCCTGCCCGGGCTGACGAGCGACGCCCCGCACGGTCCAGCCGGGGAGCAGGCGGGGGGTCGGCAGGTGCAGGCTGTGCGGCCCAGGGGGGACAGGGGGCACGTGCGGCCCCGGGTCCGCCCCATCGGCAGTCTGCGGGAATTGCGAGGGCAGCAGGAGGGACTGCGGTCGGCCTAGGCCTGGGGAGGGGGCATCCCCGGCGAGGGCCCCTGGGCTGCGCGGGATGAAGGAGCCTGGACCCAGTTGGGCTAAGGAGGCCGAGGGCCCCTGGGGCTGCTGCTTGAGCGTCTGCCCGCCCGGCTCAGGTCGTGACCCCGGCCCTGGTCCCTGCTGTGGGGCTGCATCTCCCTCTGCACCCACCCCCCTTGTGGGCGCACTCGCTCTCTCTCTCTCTCCCTATTTCTCTCGCTTGCTCACTCATTGTCTCAAATAAGTACATAAAATCTTCCCAAAAGCTGTTATAACGAGGCCAGGGCCCTGAGCCACCCGAAGGGACTTGCAAGTCCCCAGCGTTGCTCGGACGCCAGTGCTCCCCCCTCCCCGGGGTGCGTACGGCCACCCAGGAGTCCCCCCCCCCTTTTTTTTCTGATCCCTTTTTTCACTGTGACTAGTTCCTGTGTCTTCTTTCCCTTCCTACGTGATGGGAAACTGTTGTAACCATGTCTGTTAGAGTTGACGGTGAAGGAAAAGTACATGGGCTGTACATGGGCTGTGCAAAAGGGCCTGTCCTCTGAGTTGCCGTAGGAGATGTTGTGTATTGACCTAGGGCTGTCAACTTGAGCTCTTCAAAGACCTTTCAGACTTACACCACAGTTCCTGTACGCAGTTTTATGAGAAGAGGTCAACGTATTATTGATATATTCATTTAACCCCTAAACAGGCACTTTTCAATGAAAATATTATGGGTGCCACAAATGTGTGCCATATATCTTAAATTTTCTAGTAGTCCGTGCTTTTATTTTTTTATTTTATTTTTTATTTTATTTTATTTTATTTTATTTTTTATTTTATTTTTTATTTTATTTTATTTCATTTTTTATTTTATTTTATTTCATTTTTTATTTTATTTTATTTTATTTTTTATTTTATTTTTATTTTTATTTTTTATTTTATTTTTATTTTTATTTTTTATTTTATTTTATTTTTTATTTTATTTTATTTCATTTTTTATTTTATTTTATTTTTTATTTTATTTTATTTTATTTTTATTTTATTTTATTATTTTATTTTATTTATTTTATTTAATTTTTTATTTTATTTTATTTTTTATTTTATTTTATTTATTTTATTTTATTTACTTTATTTTTATTTTCTTTTAATCTGTGCTTTTAAAAAATTAAAAAGAATCAGGCAAAATTAAGTTTAATATTTTGTTAAAGTCAATATGTACAAAATATAATCAGGTCAAGGAATTATATATGCTAATTAATTAGCATAAATAATGAATTATTTCACACCCTTTTTTTCATACCATGTTGTATAAATTTGACGTGTATTTGATGCGTACAGCACACCTCAAGTCAGAGTCGCCACAAGCCTAGTGCTCCACCAATGACTCCCCAGTGGATGGTACAGCTCTAGATAGCGCTTGGAAAAGCTTAGGAGGCTCTTGAAAATTGTGGCCTAAAGGACCCCTATACTCTGATTAAAGGCTTTGTGAGATGAACACAGGTGTGGGAGGCTCGGCCGCTCAGGGCAAGGAGTCCGGGGCTGCACGTCCTCCGGCTCCTTGTGCAGTGCAGCTCAGCCGGGGAGCGTGGGGAGCCTTCTGCAGAGAGATGCGCAGCCCCAGTGAGCGTCCTCCACCCTGTGACTTGCTCAGAGTCCCCGCGGGGCTGGTGGGATCAACTGCTTCCGTGTCACTCTCTATGGAGAGCACGTCGGGATTGGGGCAGACGCCCCAGTGTTGGTCGCCCTGCTTGATGTCACTCTCCAGCCAGGTGAGTGAGTGAAACTGCAGGAAGCAATCCAGGGACCCTCCGTGTTGGCTGCTTGCACCAGAATGATCACGGCGGGGGGCGGGGGGGGGCACTCTCACCAGCTAGCGATGAGGTCAGAGCCACGTGCTGCTGCGCAGGCAGAGAGAGCCTGGCGCAGGGAAAGGGAGCGGCCGCCTGTCCTGGAAATACAGCCCGGCGTAATGGGGACAAGGGACGCCGGATTGGAAAGCAAGAAACCCGGATTCCAACTTGGCCTCTGCACATTAGCCGGTTCTGGAGCCACGTGCAAGCGGTTAAGTCCTTGCACTTGCACGAGCTAAGTGCTTTGCCCACTTTGATTCTCACGACCACAACTATGAGAAGGATGGAGTTCCCGTCTGCGCCTCTCCTCGTACGGCGGCCAGGCCTGGGGATGGTGAAGGGACTCCTTCCAGACCACAGACGTGTGACGACAAACAGGGCCTGCCAGTCCCCGCCGGGGACAGCCAGTCTGGGGGCCGGGAGGAGTGATTTAAACGGCCCAGATTTCCATTTTCTGGACAGAATAACATTTAACATGACACTCCAGACCTCTGAGCTCCTACTTCAGTGAGACTCTAATTTTTTGTTGTTGTTGTTCGTCTTTCAGATTTTTCCACTGATATTAGAGCTTCCAGTTTCAAACCTTTACGACGAGAATTTTAGAAACAGCCCCGAAGAAGAGCTGGAAAGGCTCGTTCCTTGAGTTGTATCTGAAATATAAAAATCTTCGAAAAACCTCTCTCAAATGCTCTGGTTATGTCTACAGTGACAGCAAAGATATAAAATAGCTTTAGATTAAGTTATTCTCTTACGTTAGCCTTAGTGTGCTCTTTTCCCTCCGTGGGGACTTAGGTTTCAGCCACAGAGAGTGTTTCCCTCTGATTCATTCTTTCTACAGGAGGCCAGTGAATATTCATGCAAATTAATGAGATGTTTTATTTATATTGAGGTGCAGCAAATCCCTAAACACCTGCTAGAAAGTAAATATACAGGCAAGTTCCACCGTTAGTGACGCAGTGCGGAACGGTTAGACGCGGTCTTTGCGGGTTTCACCAATGCACTTTATTTGTATAATGAATAAGATCATATTTATACCTAAATAACACCTCCTCCGGTTTGACATGTTTTTAATAATGTCATTATGTAAATTAGTCTTTAACAAGTTGAGTGGTTTCTGCAGAACCTCTTATCCTTTGTGTTGAGGCATGTCGCTGCCAGTGATGATGGAAAGTCCGACTCGGGGGCCTTGCCCTAGGCCCGCTGCGAGCACCTAGATGGAGGCAGGAGGCCGTTGTCCTGGGCACTGGGCTTGGCTCCGCGGCGGACAGCCCAGGACATTCAGGGGCTGAGGTCCCGACTCTACAAGCAGCTGTGCCTCGTGCTGCGTGTGTTGCTCATGTTTGAAAATAGCCCCTCCACCTGTCCCTCCCTGCGACATTCCAGTCTGGGGCATCTGCCACTTTCATGGATGAAAAGGCCTCAGTCACAGTCGTGACATGTGCACTCTGTTCTGTGAATCCCCAAAATCATCCATACCTTTGAAATCTCAAAAGGCGGAGAGAAAATAATGTGAGATTTTGAGGCATCCTGAAGTCTCTATGAGTTCAGAGCTTCCTTCGAGCAAGGAGAAAGGGCGAGGAGTAGGAGTTTAAAACCCCGATAATCAGGGAAAGAGGAAGCAAGAGAGACGTCTGTTTGGACACCAGAGGCTACGGCGAGCTTTGCGGCAACAACACACAGTCCGGTCTACACACGAAAGTCGTTTTGATTTCCTATTATTTATTTTATTTTATTTTATTTTATTTTATTTTATTTATTTTATTTTATTTTATTTTATTTTATTTTATTTTATTTTATTTATTTATTTTATATTTTATTTTATTTATTTTTTTATTTTATTTTATTTATTTGTTTTATTTTATATTTATTTATTTTATTTATTTTATTTATTTTATTTTATTATTTTATTTTATTTGTTTTATTTTATATTTCATTTTATTTTATTTTATTTTATTTTATATTTTATTTTATTATTTTATTTTATTTGTTTTATATTTTATTTTATTATTTTATTTGTTTTATATTTTATTTTATTTATTATTTTATTTTATTATTTTATTTTATTTATTTTATTTTATTTTATTTTATTACTTTTTTTTTTTTAATTGCAGTTCAGTTTGCCAACATACAGCATAACACCCAGTGCTCATCCCATCAAGTTTCCCACGTTTCAGCGAACCATAGCACTTGGTAGATGCCTGCAGAGAGAACCTTCTAACATCCATCTCTACCACGGCGACGGGCTGACACGCTAGGTTTGATGCCAGTCGTTCATTCCCTCTCTGTCAGCGGGTGTTTATCACATGGCCTACTACGCGCTGGGCCGTCGGAGTCTGTGGGAACACAAAGGAAGGCTCCTTGTGGGGCTTCAGATCTCAGTTATTTTCAAGGGAGTTACACAATAAGCAAGTATACATATTTTATTATTGTATTATTATGTATTTATTCGCGAGAATACACAGGAGAGAGAGGGAGGCGGAGACCCAGGCAGAGGGAGAAGCAGGCTCCATGCAGGGAGCCCGACGTGGGACTCGATCCCAGGTCTCCAGGATCACGCCCTGGGCCGAAGGCGGCGCTAAACCGCTGAGCCACCCGGGCTGCCCAAGTATACATATTTTAATATGTATTTTAATTTGACTTAAATAGACATATGTATGTCATATGGTGGTAAGTGCCAGTAAAGCAAAATACAACAGGACAAGAAATAGAGAAAAGCAGAGTGGATAGCTGGGGAAGGGGCGCTCATGACGGACGTTCTAGGAACATCCTCCATCCATCCTCTGTCTCTGAGGAAGCGGCATTCATCAGTGGTCCAGCCGGGTCGTTCCCAGGCTCTTCTCTGCCCTTTGCTGGAAAGTCACCCTAAATTCCTTCATGCTTGGTTCATGGAGCGCTCGCACTGCCTTTCCGGTCTTGACTCCCACACATTGACATCTCATCAGAGCTTTTTTCCCCCAAACAGTATTTTCACCTGATGTCCTTTGCCTGGTAATTTAGCCCCATAATAGTCTTCTGGCTTCGGCGAGGTGGTGTCTAGGCTCTTCGGGTTTCCAGTTAGTGTATTGGGTTCATGCTTCCTAGCGCAAGCATCTCCAACTTTAGAACTGGGTCGTATGTCAGATGCTCGCCTTTAGGTTTTTTGGGAAAAAAAAAAATCTAAATTGAAAAGGGGGAGAAAAATTTGGACCCTAAGCTTTTTTTTATTTTTTATTTATTTATTTTTTATTCCTTAAGCTTAACAGCTGTGAAGTGTGGCTGCAGCCTTTTTTGTACGAAATAACTGCACAGTCTTCCCTGAATCGTCCCCAGGCTCCTTAAGCCCAGGCTCTCGATCCGGTGCAGACCTGCAGCCGATAGAATTGTTTGACGGTAGAATTTTCTAGAAGATGTAGTGTTGACTTCTTGTGAAGCATCACAGTGTGTTGGGCAGGAGTGGCCTGGATGGTCTGGGTTTGATAGGTTCGTGGTCACTTCCAGACCTTGGGGAAACGAGAAACACTATTTACGGTGGACCGTAACATGGTGACTTTTAAGTCAGAAGCAGCCGGGAATATTAAAGAGGGACGAAAGATCTATATCCTGGAAGAGGAAAACCAATTTGGAGTTTTATTCTTTACATTACGAGTCCGCGAGCGTGGAGGGGAGATATTCATAGATAGTCCACGGCCAGTGTGATAGGCTAAGAAAGCAACTTTAGAAAATGTGACCGAGTAAGTACCTCTCTGTCCTGTGTGCTGGAGTGAAGTCGTCCCCCGCTCGGGTAGAAAGGGCAGAAGGAAACAAATGCTCTTCAGCGTCGCCGTGCTGGGGGAGAAACACAGCATTTCTATTTATAACGTGTACAAGAGTCCCACATAAAAATAGCTGCAGCCAACAGATTTGCTTATATGTGGAGTCCAAGGGCGCTGCCGCCAGGGGCTTGGGGACTTGGGATCGGGACGGCGGCGGCTCCGGTAAATACATCAAGAGTCTGTCATCCTGTCCTCGGCCTCGGTCTCCGCGCGGAAGAAAGTTAGTTTGCGGGAAGGTCCTGGCCTCTGGATCTGGTTATTCTCCAGGCTGCCGGGCTCTCTGTTTTTAGTGCAAAGGAAGCCCGGGCACCCCTGGGCTTGCACCCCTGGGCTCCCCCCCCCCCGGGCGGAGGACGTGTCACTGCGCCTCCGTCAGGGTGACTGTGTCTCGGCCGGGGAAATACTCGCAGGCGACCGGGCTCGGCGCTTCCTTCTCGGAACGTTGGCGGGGCCGGTGCGACAGCGAGCGCTTGGAAGCTGATGGAAGCCGATCTTTCTTGTTTTCAGCGCAGCTTCCTGGGCTATGCCAGCTTCACCGTTGGGGAGCTACTGAGGTCCAAGGAGCAGCTGCTCGCCCTCAGCCTGAGGTGGGTCTCGTCTGTCTGTCTGTCTGTCTGCAGAAGCGCTGTCGGGTGAGTAGCCTGTGACTCTGGCTGAGACCTCGGGGCGGGAGGTCCCGGCTCTCGCAGCCGCTTAGAGGTCACCCCGGCCGGCCCGCGGTCTCCCCAGCAGCAGGCCCAGCGGAGCAGCGATCATTCACCCAACCTCACGGCGAAGTTCACGGCCCGTAGTCGGGGAGATCTACCCGGTCCCCAAAGTGGCCAGGTGCTGTGGTGCGAGCAACCGAAATGATGAGCATATGCTGTTACATATTTTTTTTTCTGCTGCTTATTAAAATGTCACTTTTTAAGCCAAGTAAGGTTCTAGGTTCGGAATATGTTTGCCGGTGGGTGAGTTGATTATTCTCCTTTTTAAAATATTTTTATTTCTGCTAATTATTAAAATGTCACTTTTTAAGCCAAGTAAGGTTCAAGGTTCGGAATATGTTTGCAGGTGGGTGAGTTGATTAGTTGATTATTCTCTTTTTTTTTTTTTTTAAGCTCATTTGGTTGCTCTCCTGTTACATGTAAGACATAAGTTAAAACAGACTCCTGGGATCCCTGGGTGGCGCAGCGGTTTGGCGCCTGCCTTTGGCCCAGGGCGCGATCCTGGAGACCCGGGATCGAATCCCACGTCGGGCTCCCGGTGCATGGAGCCTGCTTCTCCCTCTGCCTGTGTCTCTGCCTCTCTCTCTGTCTCTCTCTGTGACTATCATAAATAAATAAAAAAATTTTAAAAAAAATAAAAAAAATAAAACAGACTCCTAAAAAAATACAAAAAGAAAAAAATAACAACAACAACAACAAAAAAGCAGACTCCTAGTGAAGCAGGCAGTCGATCCCAAGTAATTTTGAGTGCAAATACGATTTATTTTGACATAGAAGACGAGACAGCGATCTTTAGGAAGTCGTACAGTGTTTTAATGCCAATAAGAGTATGAAATAGAATAAACTGTTTTTGAGCCTCATTATGAATCCCAAACAACCGTGTGCCGTCTTCTTCTTTTTTTTTTATTTTTATTTTTTATTTATTTCTTATTTTTATTTTTTATTTGTTTTTTTGTTTTTATTCTTTATTTATTTATTTTTTCATCTTCTGACGGAGTAGTCACACCTACGATCTTGTGCCTGTGAAGATCACCACCTCGCGATACTTGCGTAGCATAATAAAGTACGAAAACCGTAGAGAACCCCGTTTGTGAGTCTCAGTAAGTTGTTCTCTTGATGGGACGTGGAGACACCCCCGGGGAAGAGACGGGCGCTCGCCCTGCGCCTTGCCCCCCCGAGGACCCCTCGCGACCCACTCATTTGAGCAAAGACACCGTGGCGATGCTGGCACCTGCACTGCTGGCTGCTATTTCCTGATCCTTACGTTTTTGCATTTTTTTTTGTTATTTATTTACGATAGTCAGAGAGAGAGAGAGAGAGAGAGAGAGAGAGAGAGGCAGAGACACAGGCAGAGGGAGAAGCAGGCTCCACACAGGAAACCTGACGCAGGACTCGATCCCGGGACCCCAGGGTCACGCCCTGGGCCGAAGGCAGGCGCTAAACCGTTGAGACACCCAGGGATCCCTCCCTTTTCCTTCTTTGCCAGAATTGTGGGTTTCTCTCCCCATTAACCGGACACGTTGCAGACTTATCACTGCCTTTTGGTCTCTGACCCTCGAGGCTGTCTGCTTCAGGCGTGACTCCCCCCCCCCCCCCCCCCCCGGGAGCCTCTGAGGTCTTGTGCTGGGAGAGCATTCCCTTAGGGAGAAGAAGCATTTTTGTGTTGTTTTGGTTGTTTGTTATGCTTTGGTTTGAATGTTACTTTGCACTGATAACATCTATTCCAGGCATTATTATTTTTTTCTTTTTTTCCCCCCGGCATTATCTCTTAAGAGGTTTATTTATTTGCTTCAGAGAGAGAGAGAAGGAGAGAGCAGGGACAGACAGAGGGAGAGGGAGGGAGAGAACCTCAAGCAGGCTCCCGCTGAGCACAGAGCCCCATGCAGGGCCCGATCCCAGGACCCCGAGATCCTGTCCTGAGCCGAAATCAGGAGTCAGACCCTCCACCGACTGAGCCCCCAGGCGCCCACCCCGCCGCCGTTATCTTTAAAACAATAGAAATCTCAGGTTTCTGTGAAACAAATGCACAGAAACGGGATACATTTGTGTGAACATGCTTTGTGGTGAGCTTCCCAAGAACCTGTGTGGTTTTGTGTCCGTTGTCCCTTTGAATTGTTTCTTACCAGGAAACTCCAATCCCAGAACTCTCCAGCTAGGTGCACGGAGCGCCATCGTTTTCATGTGGCCACAATGTCGTTTGCGCTTTGACCTGGGATTTTTTTTTTTTATGAATTTATTTTTTATTGACGTTCAATTTGCCAACATATAGAATGACACCCAGTGCTCATCCCGTCAAGTGTCCCCCTCAGTGCCCGTCTTTTTAACAGAATTTGGAGTTGAATTCTTCCCCCCCCCCCCGCATGAGATTTAAAGGGGGCAAGAAGTCTGTGTCTTATTTATAGATGTGGACTCAAATTTCATGAAATAGCATGTAGCCCGTTTTTAAAGTCATTGGATACGATCTATTTGCATGCATTAGGGACAATGCCTCCCACGCATCAGGTGGTCCTGCTCATGCAACGCGTCTTCATTTAGACACGTAGCTGCTCACTTCCCATCTGAGCACTCCAGCATCCCGACTGAACCTGGTGTCTTTGCTTGGTACTCACCCTTTTTCTTTTTTTTTTTTTTAAAGATTTTATTTATTTATTCATGAGAGACAGAGAGAGAAGCAGAAGACACAGGCAGAGGGAGAAGCAGGCTCCATGCAGGGGGCCCGATGCAGGATTTGATCCCGGGACCCTGGGATCACGCCCTGGGCCAAAGGCATAGCTAAACCACTGAGCCACCCAGGGACCCCCTCACCCTTTTACTTTTGTGTTCTAAGTTGCCTTTTCTTGCTATTTTACATTTGGTAGTTCCTCTCTCCTCTTCTTTTAGATCTGAATTATATTTTCTGTTCTTGTTCCCTGATTGGTCACCGTATCTTCCTGACTTTCAGGGTAAGGTCCCTGTAGAGAGGCTCACAAATGTAGGCATGAAAGACAGTGGATACGGGACACCTGGATGGCTCAGGGGTTGAGCGTCTGCCTTTGGCCCAGGGCGTGATCCCGGAGTCCTGAGATCGAGTCCCACGTCCGGCTCCTTGCATGGAGCCTGCTTCTCCCTCTGCCTGGGTCTCTGCCTCTCTCTGTGTCTCTCATGAATAAATAGATAAAATCTTTAAAAAATTACAAAAAAAAGAAAGACAGTGGATAATCATAAAATAATAGTAAGAAGGAGGAGGAGGAGGAGGAGAAGAGGAAGGTTCTAGTGCCTTATGCTCTGATAAGTGTATTAGAGCGATTGCCTCACTGGCCCTTATCACATTAGCCTACAATGTTCCTCTTTTGGCCACTTTGTAAATCGAGAAACTGAGATATAAAGAGCCGCCTAGTGCTCTGCACAGAGCCACGGGGCTCATACGTGGGGCGACCAAAGGACGGAGCCCCCCGTTCCTGACCGCAAAGCCCGTGCTCCTGGTAACCCACTTCTTGTGTCCTGGGATGAAGGAGAAGACTGAGAACCTCCTAAGCCACATCCCACGTCATGTGACCTAGATAAGGGAGGAGCAAAGCAGGGACTCCGGTGCGCCCCCGTGCTCACGGTGTCTTCCACTTAGGGTTCCTCGCGGCGCCGCCTCTCGCGGTGAATGCAGACGTGGCGGGGTCAGCGTGCCACGAGGAACTCGACGTGTCAGCCGCTGGTGGTGGAAAGTGGGGAGCGGCCTGCCTGGTTAGGGACGCCGGGGAAGCCTGTGGGTCTGCTGTCACCGCAGATGCTTGGCGTTCCCAGGCCCTAAGCCCGCTTTGCTGTCCAAGCACCCGCCAGTCGTTTGCTCCGTAACCTTCCCCCAACGTCTCAGCACCACGCAAGCAGACCCTTGGCACGTCCTGATCCAGTTGCGTGATTTAATGAAAGAGTGAAGAGATCACATCCGTCTCTGGGAATGGTGCTTGCAGTCGGGAGCAGTGACACTGCCCCTAGAGCATTCAGACAACCACAAAGGCAGATAAAAAGGCGGGGGAAAGGGTAAAACTTCCTTTTTGGGAAATCCTCAGAAGCATTGAGACAGAGGGATGCGTCCTGACCTTGTCTCTGTTGCATGTGAGCTCCGTCGCACGGGGCCCCGTAGGTGAGGCTGCGGTCCGTGCTCGTTCACTGAGCCGGCGCTGAGGAGGAATTTTTTCATGTGGTGACTACAGCGATCGGTTTTTTTAGAAAAATACCTAGAGGGCATCAGTTAGTGTTTTGCAGCTGTTAACAATCAAGCTATTAATGAGAGGGATCTCGTTGTTTATTGAGCAGCTGCTAGCGTGCAAGGGAGGTCTTCAGTGCCCGTCACGCGTGATCTTTGTAGCCCGCGCCGCGTTGTCACCCGTTTCACAGCAAGTTTCGCAGCTGCCGATGGTACAAGTAAGATTAGAATCCAATGTGGTCCGGTTCCAGAGCTCGTTCTGTTTTATCTTCCTGCCTCATAGGAAGCTAATGATCTAATGGAATCTTTGCTTCCTTCTCTATTTTATATTGTTAATTAATTAATTTGTTTTTATTCATCTATTTATTCATCTATTTATTTATTTATTTTATTTATTCATCTATTCATCTCTTTATCTACTTATTTATCTATTTATCTATTTATTTATCTATTCATTTATTTTTACTTATTCATCTATTTATATACTTATTTATCTATTTATCTATGTATTTATTTATCTATTCATTTATTTATTTTTATTTATTCATCTATTTATTCATCTATTTATCTACTTATTTATCTGTGTATTTATTTATTTATCTGTTCATTTATTTTTATTTATTCATCTATTTATTCATCTATTTATCTACTTATTTATTTATCTATTTATTTATTTATCTATTCATTTATTTATTTTTATTTA